GGTCAACGTGTGTGGATCAAACTCCATTTCAAATGACATCAAGGCAATGTCATCTGTGGGTCGGTTTAAATCTTTAAATCAAATTTCTTCTCTCCCAATACAATGCACATGTTTGTACATGTAGCACAGTCCTTCCCCCTTTACCACTTGTTTTTTTCAAATATTCAATATTTAGATTTTCGCTTGTTTTCATTGTTACCTTTGAACAGTGTGGTTGTTTTCGTTTCAATTCAACCTTGCTTTATCATATGATCAAATTAATTAGCTTCAATGTATTATTTTTTACTGGTGGTACTTACATACATGTATGTGTACCAGTTTTTAATTTGCTCAAATATCACTGTTTTGCAAACATGTTCTTAGCACTGGTGAATTACTCATCCAAAGTCCCACAAAGAACCTGTTCAGTGCCACAGCAGCACCAGGTGGAAGGATATAGATGTTCAGGTCTGTATGTACGCAACATTGTGACTCCCTTGACACATAAAAAGAAACTACACAAGTGGTTGGTTGCACCCCTGAAAGTGTACAAATTTAAAGGTAGAGGGACAAAGGAAGCAAATGTGCTCAGGGTTGGGATGGGTGGAAGGAGTACGGGTAAGGGGGAGGGGATGGAAGATTGAGGAGGTGGAAGTGAAGGATAGAGCGTGTGAAGTGGAGGAGAGGATGTGGAAGGGGTGGTGGAGGCAGAAAGGATAGAGAAGGTGGAGGGGTTGGTGCTGGGGAGAGGGTGGTGAGGGTGAAGAAGGGGTGAAGGTGGAGGTGAAAGATAGGATAATGGAGGAAGTGAAGGGGATGGAGGAGGTGGAGATCGGGGGGTAGTAGAGAGGATGAAAGGAGGAGGCAGAGGTGGTGGATAGGATAGGGTAGGAGCAGGAGGAGGTGATGAACATAGAGGAGGTGGAGGAGATGGAGGAGGTTGACAGCAGATTATGAAGGTGGAGAAGTTGCAGTGGGGGAGGCCGAGGTGAAGGACAGAATAGGGAATAGGCAGGGACTCCGGGGACATGATGTGGAGGCCATGGAGAAGGTGACGATGGAAGAGATGGAGGAGGTGATGATGGAAGATGGGATAAGGAAGGTGAAGGTGCAGGGATGGAAGAGATGTACATGTAGCTGATGGAGGAGGTGGAGGTAGTACAATTGGAGGAGATGGATGACATGTACATGTATGTAGTAGAGATGGAAGGGATCGAGTAGATGGAGGTGTTTGCAATAAGAGAAGCATCGGGTGGTGATGTTAAGGTTTGTACTGGTCAGTATCTGATACCGAAACATTTTCTGATATCAAAATAGATAATTCAAGGAGGTTCAGACCAACCGAGCCACTGCATGCTAAAGCACAGAGAGATACTGGGAAGTACATATCACTCATAGTGGCAATGTCTCTGTTGCAATTTTCTGAGAACAAAAATACAACTTATTATAAATTTTATATTTAAAAAGAAAGAAGTACAGCAAAAACATAAAAAGTGGGGGAGAGGCCCAAATTAAAGCTCCAACATATGGGTTAAAATTGCAAATCAAAAATTTTAAATCAGGTAAATTGAAACCCGGAGGTGCAATTTCAAGGGTTTTAGTGCAATTTAGTAAAACATTTCTATTTCATGGTTCCTTAAAATGTGTGTCCGGCACTGACTTACGTGTAAACCAACCTGCGCCCCTCTGTGTCCCCTTCCCTCTCAGAAATAGAGAAGGAAAAAAGTCTGGTGGCAGTCCACAAAGGTCACTGTTTTAACTGTGACCCCAACCAATGACTGCCCCCTCCAGAAAATAAGGGTCCCAAGTGCAACCCCCCCCAAAAAAAAACTGTAACTAAGTTACACCATCAAACAACCCGAGGTCATTTATCCTCTCATGCACTTTTGAAGCTTCCTGCTCAGAGAGTCACAGATAAACCGATATTATCACACTCAGCGGGACAGCCATGTACCAGTAAATAAATAAGTATCATTAAATATGACCTTCAAATACATATTTTCTTTCACACACAAGTAGGATCCCTTAATAAATTTGACCTAGCTGGCATCAATTTTTCCAGTCGTAGATTCCATGGACACTTCCACATAAAATAAAGGGGGTTGCGGGTACTAAAACTTATTTCATAAAACCAACTCTGAAGAGCAAAGCTTCTGGACGTTGTAAGAACATTGGTAACTTTGAAATGTCAGGAAAGTTTTAGGAAATAAGTTATAGTTAACCTCTGAAAATAAAAGGTACAGTACATGTACATGGCAAAATTTAAGCATGCCCATTTATTTTCATTAATTAACCACATGCAAACCACACACATTCTGACTACAAAATCTGTGGACAGCAGGACACCTCTGTTGCATTACAAATAGGTTATAGATATTGTATTCTTGCATTCTACCCCAGCACTCGCAAACACCAGAAACTTTGTGAATATCTAGGTGTATTGGTTTCAATAATATAATCTACATGTACATGTAGATGATGTACCAGTACAATATTGCAGACAACTAATGGGGAGGACAGGACAGGGCAAAGAGGGATTTCCCTTGGGAGCGTGCCACAGATGGAGTAGTTGAAATCCAATTTTCCTGACAAGGGGAACAGGATCCACTTGGGACAGGATAATGAACCACTCAGGTCATAAATTTGTATAGGTATTGTATCCTAGTATCAGTACCTTTTTCCCTCAAGGAATATAAGGTTGGGGGTGAAATAAAGTACATTGTACATCATGCTAGTGGTATGTTACAGTAAGGCAAAGTAAAAAAAAAAAAGATGAAGCGAGGCTTTTTATTTTTTTCAAGATGGCCCCCATTTTAAAATTTCCTGCAGCTGTTAGGGTTTCCACTGTTCAAAGACACGTTAAAATGAAAGACAAGTTGGACAAAAGAACTGAACATATTTACCGTGTCGTTTAGTGTTGTATTGGTCTACATTAACAGTTTTAGATGCATTTGCTTTAACCGCCAAAAGTCAAGAATTATTTTTGATGAGTAATTTTACAGATAAAATCAAGCACCAAATGTCAACTCTCAAAACCTTCAAGTGTACATATGCCAAGCTGTAAATAAAAATGTGTTTGTGGTTTTCCATAAACATATGAAGACTGATCAAAAATATTTGAGGCACTTTTTTCTTCTTAACATTTTGTCGGTTTACTTTTACAAGTCTATATTTTTTCTACTACAAAGACTTTAGCCTTTGGGACTTGTGACATACAATGTATCCATCACTGTTTGACAAAATTTTGACTTGCGTTTTGATGAAACCAAACAAAACAAGATTCAGGCTTATGGTGAGCATGAATGATTGACAGAAAACATCAGCCGTGCTAAACTGTTTCTCGCTCCCTCCCCTGGAATTTTCTCTAAGTCCGAAAGCATCAGTGAAAATGGGATCAGGAACTAGACGACAGCTGTGCAAGCAAATTCTTAAAAACGTGCTCGAGCCTGAGCTCAGGGCATTTTCGAAACGAGTGGATTAGGCTTACTTGTCAGCTTCACGGATTCCAGCCATTTGATGAAGCATCCAAAATGCATGCGAGGCTCCGATTGGAACCAGTGAAACCAAAAACCACTTGCCTTGCTCTAGACTCTCAAGAAGACGTGTTTTGTGATTGCACGTCGATTTATGTGGTGTACAAAGTGACCGACTGAGTCTATACTAAAAACTCTGACTCACTTATTTGGGAAGTACATTTATTTATTTTCTGATGAATTTGTGGACTTTTTCTGTGTATGTTTTACTGCATTTTTCATAAAATAAAAAATAATTTAAAAATCCAGGCGGCCTCCAAAAAGGAAGTGGGCGGGGACGACAGACATGTTTTTTTAACTTCCCCTAAACGTGACTGGAAAAAAAATGCATGGTGTAGTTACTCTCAAATGTGAAAGGGTTTTGAATTTGACACCTGTCACCTGTCTTTCCTCGAAGTTAAATTTATTCATCTACAGCAAGACAAATATTACATTCAAAGTCACTGGATTGTGACAATTCACAGCACTTTGCATTTACATCCAATAGAAATGGCATTGCCAAGATGCCGTACATGTGACATCAGATGCTGGGCGAGATGGACAGCTGGTCAATGTTGACACTGACAGAATTCAAAACCATGTCAACATACGAATGGTTTATAAATAACAGGTCTGTAGCAAGCATTCATAAAGCCTCAATATTAAAATTCACATGCAATGTTTTAACCTTCAAAGAGCCAAGTTATTTTGACCCATCTCTCAATAGCAGGGGGTGGATTCCATCCCCTAAGAACTCGGCTGTGCCACGCCCGATTTTTTAAAAACTTGGCATGCATGTTCAGACACTCCTTATTACAAATGTGAAGTCTGAACTCAATCAGACAAATGCTTTTGTTAATATGGTCACATGTACATGCATGCCAGTACACATGCACTGAGCATGGCATTGGATATACATTTTTGGCAGACCTGTGCGAGAATGATACATTCAATTTTGCAAAAATGGTCTCAAAATGACCACAAAGAGTTATTCTTAAAACTCTGAAAGGCTCAACTTCTGAAAGAAATATGCACCGCGGCGATATCCGAAAAATGTGAGGGGGGATTATGCCCCTCCCCCCTTTTAGGGTGAAAGTGCACATTCTAAGCATTGATGTAGTGCATGTGAGCCTCCTGTCGCTTGTGTGCTAGCAGTAGCTTGAATGTCCATCCTTGACCTGAAACTGTAGGCTCCAATGCTGTACAAATGCAGTGCCTCCTTGTCATTCCTGCTTACTGTTTATGCTGCACCAATAAACAGGCAGGTCAGCTCACAAGGGTCAAGGGATGATGACAGGTTGGAAGCAAATGGGGCTACACCCCCAACCTCATTAAATTAAGCAGCAAATTGATTAGGGTTTTTATGAAAAACATGCACAAAGAGGAAGGATTATTTTTTGGGTAAAACTTGTATCATATGTTCATTTCCCTTCTACTCTAAATGAGTTAAATGCCAGAAAGTCGCTGAGATTACATGCAAGATGTCCTAAAAATTATTGAGCCCCTTACCCAAATTTGGTTCCGGATCTTGGAGTTTACAGTGTGATGCAGTCATGGCTACAGTGTCCTTAATGGAAAATAATACACAGCAATCACCTCTGCCCTCACAGATACCCATCTATGTTCCTGAGTGGGGAGAAACAGTTGCACCCCAGACACATTATGCCAAAGAAACCTGAGCCTTGCAGCCTCCACTTTCTCTAAATAAGAGAGACCATGGAGATAAAAATGTGGAGAGAATTGCCCACAAATTTTGAGATCTACGAGTATCCAAGTTCCACACATGTCTAAACAAAATAGAACAGTTGATTGTCCCCACTCGCATCCACTTTTGGAAGCATCTGCTTTCCTTAAAACTTTAATTCCTCTACAGTCCACATCTCCATTAAAAAACTTAGAAGGTGGAGAATACCTAATAAGAACTGTCATTTTGGAGGAAAATGTTGTCCAGCAATTCTGAATGTAAATTTGACCAGCAGACGACTTGAAGAAAACAAACGAATCACACTCTCCTCCTTCCCTTAAAAAAACCTGGACGATGTAACTGGTTTTCTTTTTAACTTGGTCCGATAGCATCTGATAGAAAGCCACAGTGAAAGCCGTATGCTTAAGTACATGTGTTCTGGCACTGACCAAGTGATAGTACTCTAGTAACATTATTATTTTCGGGTTTTGAGTGTACGCAATAAGAAATATGTACATGTGTATGTACCTTTCCAGCAATGTACAGGTTTCTTACTCAATGGATGAGGCTGTCAGGAAACAGCTTCCTCAGCAAGTTAGTATTAAATTTATGTAGCATGTACCAGAAGGAGGCCGTGGGTCTGAACTTTTGTGCAAAATCGAATGCCACAAATCAAAACCAAATCAAAAGTCAGAATTTTTAGGAAATTTTAAGTTAGAAATGGTTGGTGAAAAAATAAAAATTGGGGAAAATATTGCACACCACGTTGTGCCGTCCACTGAATTGGGTCGATTCTTTTTTTTTCAGCAGTCAAAATTCTTGGGAAAGTTGGGGAGCCTAAAATTTTGATCTTAGCAGAATTATCCTCTCAGGGTTCAAGATTCTGCTGAGATCAAAATATCAGGCCCTCTAACTTTTTGGATAATTGTGTATTTTAGGTCACTGTAGCCAGCAAACAGTTTGAATCCATTCTGATACTGGTACCTTTTACAAATCAATGGAGAACATGGTAAACTAGAACGACAAAGCCGCCATGGCTCGCTGCTTGTTATGAATTTAAATTTCTTTACTGTAATAACAGGAAAGAAAGAGACATCCAAGTTATACAAATATGGTTACTAAATTAAACAAGAAAATACTGGCCAAGCTTCATCAAAATTTGTTACAAGATTGGTTGACATAAGACTGCAACACAGATGTACAAGATATTTTATCGACCTTAGCAATGAAATTCATTGTACACTAGGAGAAAAACCCTAGGAGTTAGTGCTGTATGCAGACTGTGTGTTGAAAGGCACCTGTTGTTTAAAAGTAAATCAACAAAGACCACCAACAAGGGAGATACAGGTACAAAAGCTTCACAGTTCTTTACAGGAGAGAGGAATGTCTATAGAATGTGGGTCCAGTACAGTTGGACTAGACCTGGATGATTATATAAGCAGAGCATTTGTGAGTGTGATGGATGGTGCATAATTAAAATTCCTCTAAAGTACAGTTCTGCACTTTGTATCCAACCCCACCATCCTATCCTCTACAATTCTACCCCCATCATCCATATCCCATCATCCCATATCTACCATGTCTACTTTGACTCCACCCCTAATCTCATCTGTCTCCAATCCCACATACACCTTATCTTTCCATCCATATCCTACTCCACCCTTCATC